TGTGAGAAGGACATGAATTTGAGGGAGGGGGCTCAGATGTTAGAAAGTAATAGACTGTGAAGGAAACCAAGAGCACGAGCTGACACGGTCCTTGTGTTCTTTGGCTTTATGTTCAAGGAACTAAGCCTACATTTCCTTTGTTTCCCCTGACCTTTTAGTTGCATTTCTATGGATGGCCAAGTTTGGCCTGGAACCTGCTCATTCTAAGTGATTATCTTGCTTAGCATAGATGTTAAAATATGCATAGTTTAGTCATTGATACTTATCCTGCTTGTGTGATTTAACTCAGACATTAACATATTCTGCTTGTATGGTTTCAGCCTTCCTTTTTGAGATTTTTGTCCTATATAAGAGGCATGCAGTAAAATAAATTTGTTCTCTCTCGCTCTCAGCTACCTGGGAGAGGACCCTCCCAATTCCACTGTTTCTCTGTCTCTTTCCTCATTCCCTCCCCCCAACTCAGGCCCTGATCAGAGAAGGGTGGACCCCCACAGACCGAATATTTGTGCCCCCCCAAATTCATGTGTTGTAACCTAATCCTCAATGTGACAGCATTTGGAGGTGGGAACTTTAGGGATTAATGCCCTTATAAAAGAGACTCTGGAGAGCTTTCTTCCCCTCTCTGTCATGAGGACACAACTAGAAGATGGCTAGCTATAAACCAGGAAGCAAGCCCTCACAAGACACTGAATTTACTAGAGCTTTGATTTTGGACTTCCCAGCCTCCAGAACTATGAGAAATACATTACTGTTATTTACAAGCCATCACTAAACATCAGTGAAAGGACATAAGATGGAGTTGCTTAGTTCTGTCATGGTTTTCTAACTGTTCACTTTAATTTACCCTCTAATCACTAGCCAACGTCAGAACCAGTTTCTCAGAGGTAGCTATTGATAATTGTTTTACAACCCTCTCCACAGCTTGTTTTGTACTAATAAGCTTTTCTATTCCAAGTATTTGCATAAGAAACAGGTTAACCTAATCAGTCCTTTGTGACCTTAATGACAGACCCCATTACCATGGCAGCAGTCATGTGACTAACCCACCCATCTGCTTATCATCCATCACCTGACATCAGTACCTGTGCTTACCTGCCCCTTTGCAATGATGTGGAATGGACCATCACCCAATTACCTTAACAACCTGCCCCCATTAAAGGAAAGGCTTAAAAGTGACCAACTTAAAAGCAGTCATTTGACATTGCTTTGTTAAGCACTAGCCAGGCCATGTGTTCACTGAGCTATGACCAGGACATGTTTCCTAACTTTGGCCCCCTCCCCTACCTTGGGGAGGGGAATCTCCTCTCTTTCCAATTTACTTTCTATATGAACTATATTTTCCAATCTAACTACTGAGTAATTCTTTGCATTTTTTGCATGGCACCTGATTGCAGACCATTCCGTCAAGTCTGACCTAACATTTTGGAGGCATCACTGGGATTTTGACCTAAGAACCAGCAATAACATGTTTTAGCTCTTAAATGGTGTATGTTTATTTTTCTTTTTTTTTGAGTTCGAGTCTCACTCTGTCACCCAGGCTGGGGTGCAGTGGCACACTCGTGGCCACCCCAGCGTTGACTTGCTGGGCTCTGGCGATCCTTCCACCTCACTCTTCCAAGTAGCCAGAACTACAGAAGCATGCTACCACGCTAAGCTAATTTTTGATTTATCGTAGAGACAAAGTCTCACCAAGTTGCCCAGGCTGGTTTCAAAACTGCAGGCTAAGGCAATCCTCTTGCCTCCATCTTGCAAAGTGCTGGGATTACAGGCTGTGGGGTTCCAGCCTCCGCTGATCAGGCCCTAAGTTGGGGGGAGGGAATGAGAAAAGAAAGAGACAGAGAAACAGTAGGATTGGGAGGACTCCCTCTCAGGTAGCAAGGAGCAAGAGAGAGCAAATTTATTTTACCACATGTCTCTTATATAGGACAAAAATCTCACAAAGAAAGGCTGAAACCATACAAGCAGGATATATTAATGTTTGAGTTAAATCACACAAGCAGGGTAAGTATCAATGACTAAACTATGCATATCTTAACATCTATGCTAAGCAAGACAATCACTTAGGATGAGCAGGTTCCAGGCCAGACTTGGCCATCCATAGAAATGCAACTAAAAGGTCAGGGAAGACAAAGGAAATGTAGGTTTAGTTCCTTGAACCTAAGCCAAAGAACATAAGGGCTTTGCCAGCTTATATTCTGGCTTCCTTCAACATACGTGAGCCACAGTGCCTGGCCCTAATTTTTGTCATTTTAATGATGCATACACATTGAATTAGGTTTACATGAAACAAATTTTTCCAATATTTGGCTCCTGTAATTTTTCCTGTTGTTTGTAAATTTTGCCTATGTGGATCTAGAGAGTTAACATTTAATAGACAAATATTTTATCCACTAAAGGGGAATCACTCATATATAAGGAAAAGAATAATATTTGTAAGATGAGATTCCTCATTTAAAGCATTGATGTGACATCAATACAACAGAATATTTCTCTGCAGTAAAAAAGAAACATTTGATATCTATTGGCATTGATTTATTACCATCTTAGATGAGTTCAAGGACATTACACTGGGTAAAAAAAAGCTGATCCCAAAGTTTACATACTGTATGATTCCATTTATATGATATTCTTGTAATTACCTAAGTTTAGTTGTGAAGAACAGATTAGTTATTGCCAGAGAAGAAAAGGAGGGTGAGTTGGTGCTATAATATGATATAGGTGTGGTACTATAAACAGATAGTACTATAAAAAGATAGCACAGGGGGGACACACACACACACAAACCAGTGCATGCAGAAACTGATGAAATTTGAATAAGGCCTATAGTCTGGTTAGTATTTTATTGATGTCAATTTCCTAGTTTTTTAATGTACTAGTCATGTAAGATGTTACATGGGGGAAACTGTGTAAAGGGTACACGGGAGTCTATTTTTGCAATTTCCTTTAAGTCTATACTTATTTCAAATTAAAGAATTAAGGAAGAAAATCAAACAGAATACAAACTCATTAAATATTTTCACATCTTTGGGGGAAAAAAGCATCTACTAGCCATGTATGACTTTATTGGTTGCTTCCTTTAACTCTCAACACTCTGAAATAGATGATATAAACTCTATCTTATATTTAATGCAATTGAAGCTTAGGTTAAGTAATTTGTCCAGGGCACAACTACTATTAGAGTCAGGATTTGAATATGGGACAACCTAAACTGCTCAAAGGTGTTTTGGTTGAAGCCTGATTGGGCAGACTTAAATGATACTGTTCTTCCCAGTAAGCTACTCTTCTCTTTAACAAAAACTGGGGGGGCTTTAGGGTTGCCATTTTCTATTGTTTAAAAAAGTTAATCAGACTCTCAAATTCCTGTCGGGGAAAGTAGAGGAATGAGCTTTGGAAGGAAGTGTAAATGTAAGGGCAAACTGTGCCTAGAATTAAACAAACATCAAGGCAACATCAAACATTTTTTTGAAGGCTGTGCGCAGTGGATCCTGCCTTTAATTCCAGCACTTTTGGAGGTATAGGAGAGAGGACTGCCTGAGCTCAGGGGTTAGAGACCAGCCTGGGCAACTTGGGGAGACTTCTCTACAATAAATCAAAAAATTGGCAGGTCGCGATGGCAGGCACCTGTAGTCCCAGCTACTCGGGAAGGTGAGATGGAAGGATCACCCAAGCCCAGCAGGTCGAGGCTGCGGTGGCCGTAATCATACCACTGCACTCCAGCCTGAGTGACAGCGAGATTCTGACTAAAAAAAATTTTTTTTTTTGAACAGGAGAAAAAAGTATGTTAATATTGCTACTAGAATATGTTAGTAGTGACGTCTGAAAACAACTACACAATCTGGGACTCAACAAAATTCTTGAAAAATCTGTCTCTTGGGCATCACTGAAATAGTAAATCTGATTTCTCTGCATTACCAGCTCTAAAAGTTTTGCCAAGAAACTTTTAGAAGAAAGGAGACGCTTAAAATGCATAAAGAATAATGCCAGCTGAGTGGTGGTTTACAAGATCTTTTATAACAGCACAAAATAGAGGGATGTGACCAGTCTTAGAATTCATCCAACCACGCAACCTAACTAGAGTAGGTTTCCAAGTTGCCCTATGCATTTTACACATGGAAAAATGAGCTGCAGAGAAACCTATGACCCCCTGGGCAATTTCATTAGTCCCATAAACATGCAGGTATTGTTGGGCATGAGCTTCTCCTGCTGGCAAGGCCTTTTTCTTTTTGATTTGGAATCTCACTCTGACCCACCTGGAGTGCGGTGGCACGCTCACGGCCACCGCAGCCTCGACCTGCAGGACTCAGGCGGTCCTCCCGCCTCAGTCTTCCAAGTTGCTGGAACTACAGGCGCACGCCACCACGCCTAATTTTTGTGATTTATTGTAGAGACGAGGTCTCGCCAAGGTGCCCAGGCTGGTCTCGAACCCCTGGACTCAGACAATCCTCTTGCCTAGGCCTCCCAAGGTGCTGGGATTACAGGCTTGAGCCACCGCGCCCAGGTCAGGCCTTTTTTTACCCTTCGGAAGGCGGAAAGCGACCTTGGCTCCTGATTTTAAAAACTTCGTAAACTTCAATCTTTCTCCTTTCCGTTTCCGACCGGCTCACGAACGCTGGAGCACAGCAAAATCCCACCCTGGAGTACGGGCATCAGCCTCCAGCAGGCCAACGAAGAAACCCTTCTACAACCCGTCCAACTTCAGACGGCGCACGGTATTATTTTACTCCACCGCCAGCGCGCGCCTGACGCAATCCGCGGACACGTGGCCGCTCCGGCCCAATGAGAGAGGCCCACGCTTTCCAGACCGCCGCATGCGCTCACAGAGCCCGAGCGCGCGCGGCGCCCCGCCCCGGCTGTGTGGTGCTCCGGCCTTCATCCTCCCCCGAAGGTTTCGGCTGCCGGGCTTGCGGGTTCCTCCAAAGCGTTGTTTCCGAGCTCGGCTACCTGAGTGTGTCCTGATTGGCTTCCTCTGGATGCAGGGAAGGGACTCATTTGAGACCGGGACCACTTCCTGAAGCGCGAGGCAGGAAGTTATCTGGTACTTCTGGAGTCCCGTGGAGAAAGTGTTCTCCGCCGCATTTGTAGCGGCGAGGGCTGGAGGTGGGGCGGGGGACGGGCCGTTCGGTTCTGCCGCAGCCAGGAGCCGGTTCCCATCCGCGGCACCACGGCCCCCTCTTCCAGCCCCGAGCCCGGCGGGGCTCTTTCAGGCTCCTTGACGCCGCTGAAGGGGGCACCTACCCGGGCATCGCCTGAGCCTCCAGCCAGGACACCTGTTCCTGGCTTCAGGTGCCCTTGTCGCCCCGTGCCCTGCCCTCCTCCCTGAACCACCGCAACTCCGGTCCAGAGCGACAGGCTTGGACCTGCGACCAGACGGCAACAAAACGCTCAGCCCCGGCGCTCCACAGACGGGGCTCTGCATCGTCTCTGACATGTCCCCCACCATCTCCCACAAGGACAGCAGTCGGCAGCGGCGGCCAGGGACGTTCAGCCACGCTCTGGATATGAAGAGCGGGCCTCTGCCGCCGGGCGGCTGGGATGACAGTCACCCGGACTCGGTGGGCGGGGAAGGGGACAGAGAAGCTCTTCTGAGGGATCTCGACACTGGTGACTTCCCGAAAGTCCCGCGGAGCTGCCGGGCCGAACTAAGCAGCATCTTGCTCCTGCTCTTTCTTTACGTGCTTCAGGGCATCCCTTTGGGCTTGGCGGGAAGCATCCCACTCATTTTGCAGAGCAAAAATGTTAGCTATACAGACCAGGCTTTCTTCAGTTTCGTCTTTTGGCCCTTCAGTCTCAAATTGCTCTGGGCCCCGTTGGTTGATGCTGTCTACTTTAAGAACTTCGGTCGTCGCAAATCTTGGCTTGTCCCGACACAGTACATACTAGGATTCTTCATGATGTATTTATCCACTCAAGTGGACCATTTGCTCGGGAATAACGATGGCAGAACGCCCGACGTGGTTGCGCTCACTGTGACATTTTTTTTGTTCGAATTCTTGGCCGCCACTCAAGACATCGCTGTGGATGGCTGGGCGTTGACCATGTTATCCCGGGAAAACGTGGGTTATGCTTCTACTTGCAATTCGGTGGGCCAAACAGCGGGCTACTTTTTGGGCAATGTTTTGTTTTTGGCCCTTGAGTCTGCCGACTTTTGTAACAAATATTTGCGGTTCCAGCCTCAACCCAGGGGAATCGTTACTCTTTCAGGTAGTGTATTTAAACTACTAAGCTGTTAGATTTATTTTACCTTTATGAATCCTTTTGACAGAGTGTGTGACGTTGGAGGGAAGCTCATTATTTAATTTATTGGAAATCATTTTATGGGCGATGACTTGAGGTAAGTTTTCTGTTTCTTCAAAATGGACATCTTTGAAGTATCATTAAAGCCAGAATGAATGACGGTAGAGCAGTCATAATTGATCAGTACTCTGCAATGGACAGGGAGAGGCAGCCCATCAAATAACAAAACTCTGAGTGTAGGGATCCATCTGCATTGGCTTAATACACAGATGCACACTTTTTAAAAAAGTCTGTCACATTTTTCCTTTTGTCTTTTGTTGGATTGAGATTCTAGCTCCATACTTTCTGACCTTTTCTGAACCTGCTCTTACACGAAAAGTCCTCATCTAGCCTTCTGGTGAATGGAACCGAGTTAATTCATTCAAACATTATTGAATCCGCCAAGGGGCTGGACTCTAAGGGTCTCCTCCGAATAAGGCGTAGTTCCGCCCACAAGTACTAGGGGAGATGAACATTCTAGGGGGACTCAGACTTGCTGACCATAAGCTGCTTTTGGGACTCAGGCTTCACGATGCAGGTAACATTTATCTTTGTTCTTGAATGGTAAGATTCCATGAGGTGGAGAAATGGCACTCCAGAATGCACAAGTGAAAATGCACTGAGGCTGGTTTGGTCCAGGACGTTGCCAATGATGTTCATAGTGCCTGAACCCCCAGTTGTGAAACTGGCTTTGGGAATTGGTGCTGAAGGAAAGGTTGTGACCAAATTAGTAAGCTTTTCTTTAATTGTGATGGGAAGGAGTCTATTCTGTAAGAAACTGGGTGTACATTCTACAAAATGTTCCCTTTTCTCTGCTTGAGTAAAATACATGTGAGGTTTTCTGAGGGCTTTTTTTTTTTTTTTTTGAGTCGGAATCTCACTCTGGCACCTAGGTTGGAGTGCAGTGGCATGCTCACTGCCATCGCGGCCTTGACCTGCTGGGCTCAGGCCATCCTTCTGCCTTAGCCTTCCAAGTAGCTGGAACTACAGGTGCACACCACCACGCCTAGCTACTTTTTTGATTTATTGTAAAGACAGTATGTCACCAAGTTGCCCAGGCTGGTCTCAAACCCGTGGACTCTGGCGTCCTCTCACCTCAGCCTCCCAAAGTTCTGGGATTACAGGCATGAGTCTCTGTGCCTGGTTTCTGAGGGCTTTAAAAAAAAAATTTTTTTTTTAACTTTCCTTACAACTAGGAAACAAGGTGACCAATATCGGTAATAACATCAGAAATACAGAATTGTTTATTCTATTAGTGATGATAAATTCAGGAGATTGTTTGAAATTTAAACAACCAAACTTCCCTCAGCTTCTGTGCTAGATTGGAAATTCCCAACAGGGTGTTATTTGGATACATGAGTGGTAATAGGTATCACAACTGTACTACCCATCTCCTGGAATCTTATACGATCTTACACACACCTAATCCTTCTACTAAACTGCTAGTAGGCTACTATTACTGATGAAATAATAATAATGGTAGTACTTTTTCCTCTGGTTGGTTGAGATATTGCTTTACACCTAGGCAGATTTGTCTCTGAATGTTCTGTGGTTTCAGTCCTGCTTTATGAATAATTCTTTACCTGGAAATACTTTGTGATACTTTTTATGTATCTGTTTTTCATTTTGTCCTGGGAATGCAGTTCATATCACCAAGGAGGGTTAATGAAATGATGTGTTACTTAAGAAAGTTTCAGAAAAATCAAGATTTAAAGAGGCTACGGAAACTAAATTGCTAATTAGGAAAATTAGCACTACCTCTTAAGTATAATGTGAGAGTGATTGATACAACATCATTCCAGAGAATGCCATCATGAGTTCAAGAGTTATTATAATTATATCTGTATTTCCTTATTTGCAGTTGTTCCTTAATAAATCAAGGTTTGGCAGCGGATTTTTATTTAGGCTGACTTGTTATTTTGAATTGCTGTTTGTACTGTGGAATTTGAACTTTGTTCTCCAGGAGATTCAAAAGATAGTTTTTTGTTTTGTTTTGTTTTATAAAAAATAGTTTTTAATTTAACTTTTTATATCTGTAGTGGACTGGTGTTTTTGGTCCAGACATTTTAGTTGTGAGTTAAAGAGTTCTACTTTTTCCTTTTCCTTTTTATGACTGTACATACCATATTTATAGACTTGTACTTTCTGGAAACTAATTATAGGATAACTAAAAAAACCAGTAGTTCTGAGGAATTTAAAGAGCACGGAAAGAATCATGTAAAGGTGTGGGTTAAGTATCTGGGCATTGCCTCTTTCTCCCATATCTGGCTCCTTTCTTCCCCTCCTCCAGGGAACAGCCCCTGGCCAAGGCTGGTCTCCTCAGGATATGCATGTTCCCTGTTAACAAGTCTTGGGGTTAGCGAATTCAGGTAACCAGGTAGCCTGAAGACAATGTAGTCATCACCTTTTTTTTATTTTTTTTTTTTGAGTTGGAGTCTCACTCCGTCACCCAGACTGTAGTGCAGTGGCTGTTCCCAGCCACCGCAGCCTCGACCTGCTGGGCTCCAGCGATCCTTCCGCCTCAGCCTTCCGAGTAGCCGGAATTACAGGCATGCATTACCACGCCCGGCTGATTTTTTGATTTGTTGTAGAGATGAGGTCTCGCTGCCCAGGCGGGTCTCGAAACCGCAGGCTCAGGCAATCCACTCACCTCTGCCTCCCAAAGGCGCAGGATTACAGGCTGAGCCACTGAGCCCGGCTGTCATCACTCTTAATGTGGTTGTAAACACTGTATAAGAATTTGAATAATTAACTTGCTTGATCGCAAAACTGCTATGCAGTCCTAAGGCTCAGATTCTTTCATCATCACTGACCTACTGCTATCAGTGGCACTCACATAAATGTAATAAACCAATGTCTCTCCCTGCTGGGCCTAACTTTGTAATAGGTAAACATTATGCTCAAACCCTCTCAGATTTTGGGCTACCATGTTACAAAAGGAAATACAGTTGCCTAGGTAATTAAAGAGGGCTAAATGCTGAGGCAATGTTTAGAAAATCCGAGTATTAAAAGGAGGCATGATTTTTTAAAATTCTGAAATATGATCTGTAATTAATACTGTTTTGAGTGTGTTACACATAAGTGGACATGGAATATATTGAGTAGGTAGGTAATGTAATGAGTTATCTGAATTGGTGCAATCCTATAGGAATTAGAGGGGACGGTGATAATCTGAAAAATTTATGCCACTCTAAAGGTAAGAAACATCAACTCCGGTAAATTGTCTTATAGTAATAGGATCCCAGGATTGCTAAATCTCATGGTACTCAAGAGAAGCTGGAAATGCCTTTTTTGTTTCCTAAATTTAAAAACACTTAGTAGGCTCATATAAAATGTCTTTAGTCGGCAGAGTGGCACATGCTCCTATAGTGCCAGTTACTTGGGAGACTTGGAAGATCGCTTTAGGCCCGGTTTTCCAGGCCTAAGTGCGCTCAGTCTCTCCTGTCAATAGCCACTGCACTACAGCATGGGCAATTTAGCAAGACTCTGTCTTTAGTGTATATATTTGTGTGTCTTTAAACCAGATCCAGCCTGTGAACTGGTAGTTGAGACACTCATGTAGCTGCAGTGGTAACCAATGATTAGAAGATGAGATTGGGATAGGAAGCAGCATATTTGAGTTTGGGGACAGGGAGCAGGATAGACTAATGCCAGAGAAGAGTTAAAGATTTTATTTATTTATTTATTTATTTGAGTTGGAGTCTCACCCTGTTGCCCAGACTGGAGTGCAGTGGCCATTGCCAGCCACCGCAGCCTTGACCTGCTGGGATCCGGTGATCCTTCCGCCTCTGCCTTCCAAGTAGCTGGAACTACAGGCACGCTACCACACCCGGCTAATTTTTGATTTATTGTAGAGATGAGGTCTCGCCAAGTTGCCCAGGCAGGTCTCGAACCCACGGGCTCAGGCAGTCCACTCACCTCGGCCTCCCAAGGTGCGGGATTACAGGCTGAGCCACCGAGCCTGGCTGGCTTTTTCATTCTTCTGTATGTGTGAGATACAGAAAACCTTTGAGTTAGGGCTTTGTGAATAACCCATTGTCACTACTTCCTTCTTCCATGTATACTGGTATCTTTTCCTCAAAGCACAAAGAAATTATAAATAATTACTAAAACCTATTAATTTGTTTTTGTTCTTTCTCTTGCTATTGGTATCAAGGAACTTAAATTCTAGATGAAGATTGTGTTCATTAAAATTGGGAGACTATACTAAGCAAATTTAAAATTTTTTGCCTAGAAAAATTGAACTTTTAAAGAAGTATATAACTGGAAAACTTTTAACTTTCACTTAATATTTATATAGAGACCAGTAATTGGAATTTTTGGTAACAGTGAAAGTAATAAAGTTTTTTTTTTCAGGTCTTTTAAAATAGCTGGTTTAGGCTGGCTTGGTGGCCCAGCTTTGGGAGGCCGAAGTGAGTGAATTGCCTGAGCCCGCGGGTTCAAGACCCGCCTAGGCAATTTGGCGAGACCTCATCTCTACAATAAATCAACAAACAATTAACTGGGCGTGGTAGCACGCCTGTAGTTCCAGCTAATTGGAAGGCTGCGGCGGAAGGATTGCTGGAGCACAGCAGATCGAGGCTGTGGTGGCCGGGAGCAGCCACTACACTCCAGTCTGGGCAACTGAGTGAGACTCCAACTCATGAAAAAAAAAACAAAACAATAAAATAAATAAATAAAATAGCTGGTTTAAACCAAATGATGAACAACAACATGAGAATAATATTATACATGAAACTCTGCAAACAAGTCATTTTATAGATGAAATTAAGAATACAAAAATAGGCCGGGCTTGGTGGCTCAGCCTGTAATCCCAGCACTTTGGGAGGCCGAGGGGAGTGGATTGCCTGAGCCCGCAGGTTTGAGACCAGCCCAGGTTCCTTAGCGAGACCTCGTCTCTACAATAAAAATCAAAAAGTTAGCCAGGCTTGGTAGTTGCACACCTCTAGTTCTGGCTACTTGGAAGGCTGAGGAGGAAAGATCGCTGGAACCCAGTAGGTTGAGGCTGCGGTTCCTGGGAGTGGCCACTGCACTCCAGTCTGGGCGACAGAGTGAGACTCCAACTCAAAAAAAAAGAAAAAAAAGAATACAAAAATAATTGACATTAGCCTCATTTTTAAGAATAATGTTAAATTGTTGCGCATTCCTTTTTAAATCAGATTTCAAAATACCAGAAATTATATGCTAGAATGTTATTTTGATGAAGTTTAAATAGAAATTTCTCATGGTAGAGAAAAGAATCAATCCCAGCCGGGCTCGGTGGCTCAGCCTGTAATCCCGCACTTTGGGAGGCTGAGGAGAGTGGACTGCCTGAGCCCGCCGGTTCAAGACCTGCCTAGGCAACTTGGCGAGACCTCATCTCTACAATAAATCAAAAAGTAGCCGGGCGTGGTAGTGCACACCTGTAGTTCCAGCTACTTGGAAGGCTGAGGCGGAAGGATCACTGGAGCCCAGCAGGTTGAGGCCTCGGTGGCCGGGAGCGGCCGCTGCACTCCAGTCTAGGCGACAGAGTGAGACTTCAACTCAAAAAAAAAGAATCAATCCCACAACACAATTTTCCATGTACGTTTAAAGCATTTTAGCTTATTTAATTTGCATAATTTGAATAGCAGAGCCTTGGCTTTTGGTTAAGTTTGGAGATTAAATAATTAGCCAATTCTAGTAGATTGTTATTTCAAAATTAATTTTTAAAAAATCTTTGGGAGGTCGAGGTGAGGGGATTGCCTGATCCCATGGGTTCTAGAACAGCCTGGGCAACTTGTCGAGACCTCATCTCTACAATAAATCAAAAAATTTGCCAGGTGTAGTAGCGCATGGCTGTATTTCCAGCTACTTGGAAGACTGAGGCCAAAGGATCGCCTGTGCCCAGCAGGTCGATGCTGGGGTGGTCATGAATGTGCCGTTGTCCTCCAGCCTAGGCGATGGAGTGAGACTCCAACTCAAAAAAAAACAAATCTTCATGTAGGCAGTGTTGAATTATGGAAAAACTGTAAGGCCCACATTTAGGAGATTGAGGTTCAAATCCATCCTTTGGGAAAGATTTAAGTATTCTGAATTTCTTTTCCTTATCTGTACATGGTGATAACACGCTTTGCCAATCTGACAAGTTTGCTAAGATAATCAAATGGGGTAAAATAAAGCAGTTCTCAGAGTGATTAATAAGGCACAGGTTTTCAAACTAGTTGTACTTAAAAGGCATCGAATCATATTTTTGCCACTTAGAATGTAACTTTGGACATCTTAATTTTGGTAAGACTCAGTTTCTTCATCTATAAATTAGAGCTACTGAGAGCCTAATCTATTGGGTTGTTGTAGTAAAGATGATATATGTAAAATGCTTAGCACGTTTATGGCATATGGTATGCACTCAATAAGTGATACACCTATTATTACTATTATTTTTAGCTGTTTAGCAGACTCTTCCAGACCATTATTCACTCCCTTCACAAAATTTGTTCAAGGTGATAGCTAATGGCCCAATTATCTTTCACTGAAACAACCCAGACAGTGCTCTGTATGTCTGTCCCCATTCTACACCTACAAGTATGACCAAATTGCTTGTGTATCATAGTATTGAAAAGAGGAGGTTATTCTTAAACATTAGAAAGTTTAATAAAATAATAAATTAATAAAAATACAATGTGGGGGCCATTGCCTTGCTAGACTCTGGTGTGCCATGTGTTCTTTGAGCTATGGCTGTCGCCACGCTTCCTGACTTTGGCCCCCTCCCCAACCATGGGGAGGTGAAACTTCTTTCTCCCTTCTCTTTCTCTAATTTACTTTTAAATAAACTTTTCTCTTTTTTTCAAAAAAAAAATACAGTATGGAAAATCTAATGTAAATAATCATCTGTTTGTTGTCTAGGTTGTTATAATGTAATAAAGACTGAAATGGCTTGTGTATATAAGTATAACTGATTGGTCTTAGGGAATAAAAAAATCATCTCCTACCCCTCGTATTTGCCTTGAACAAAGTGGCACAGTAGGCTTTTGCTTCATTCAACTCAGTTGTACACTAAATGTCTATAACCCTTTTTTTGTTCTTAAGTGGCACTATTTTGGATCTTTGTATGTTTAAGATGTGGGACCATTTTGTTCATCTACTGTGCCTGGTATGATACCTTGAATATAATAAAGAGGTACCTAAATGTTGATTTTTTAAAATAACATTTTAGTTGAGAATTATTTAATATCAATGAAGTCCTATCATTTCAGAAATTAATTATGGATTTAAAACATTCTTAATTTCAGATTTCCTTTTTTTCTGGGGAACTATATTTTTAATAACAACAACACTAGTCGCCCTTCTAAAAAAAGAAAACAAAGAAGTATCAGTAGTAAAAGAAGAAACACAGGGGATCACAGATACTTACAAGTTGCTTTTTGCAATTATAAAAATGCCGGCAGTTCTGACATTTTGTCTTCTGATTCTGACTGCAAAGGTAAGAGATATAGAAATCAAATTTACCATTTTGTTATAAGTACCAATATCATGGAATATTTTTATTGCTTTCTTTATATTAGTCCCTTTCCACTACCATTAGAAGTTAACAACAAAAAACAATATTTTCTGTTTATTAAATGTATTTGAAAAGGTGTGATGATATGAAATATAATTATAAAGCTGAATGTGGGATCTTGAAAAGAACTATGTTAATTTGGAGCACTACAAATAAATGTGAACTTTTATTTAACAATGATTAATGCCTGGAATGAAACGAATGACTTGAAAAAACAATAACTCTCTATTGTTATAATGAGTACACATCTAATGTTGGGGTAATAAAATAAAATTATTTACTTAGAATGTGGTTTGCAAAGTTATGGAATATATGGGTATAATAGGTCTATTTTAAAAATTTGGCCAGCTATGGTGGTTTACGCCTATAATTCCAACACTTTGCGGGACTGAGGCCAGAGAATTGCTTGAACCCAGGAGTTAGAGACCAGCCCTAGCAACATAGCAAGATCCCTTTTCTACAAAAA